GGGTGTCATGAGCGTTAGTGACTAGTCCCAACTCACCAAATGTTCGGGTACCTTATCTTGTCTAATCTTATCTTAACTTAATGGAGGGTGTCACTGGTATGTCCTACTTCTTTACTTTCCCTCTGTTGTTTCTGCCTGTGTGGGTGGTTGGAGGGTGGCCACTGGTAGGTCCTTCTTCTTTTTTACTTTCCCTCTGTTGTTTCTGTCTGTCTGTCCGTCTTACTTTTCCCTCCGCACCAAGTGACCATATATTGAGTGGTTCTTCTTTCCTCTTACCATCTTACGTTGTGTCATTATTGTGTCGTCTTCTTCTTGTATTGTCGTGTATTGAGTGGACGCCACTATTGCTGTCCCGCGTTGTGTCTTTTTACTTTTTGTGCCAATGTTGTGTTCATGACATCTGTACACATCTTTATCTTCGGCACTTATAGTATAGGACTTATTTGTGTTGCGAGTGCTGTAAAATTCTTACTCAAAAGTTGATTGAATATTAAAACTCTCACTCAATAATTAAACAAAACTGTTATGCAAATCAAACATAATGAAATGAAACAAAACTGTTTTGCAAATCAAACATAATGAAATGAAACAAAACTGTTTTGCAAACATAATGTAACAAAACTCTTACACAAACGTAATGAAACAACACATTCACTCAAACACTATCAAAACAAGTCTTACTCCACCGTAATTACTCCAAACTTTTACTCAAACATAATTTGACAAAACTTGTACACAAACTACATTAAAAAAACACATTTTTTTCCAAAACCCTTACTCAAACTTAAACAAAATTGTGTGTGTTCCTTCCCCCCTCCAGATTTACCAGTACATCCAGTCTCGGTTCTACCGGTCGCCCGAGGTCCTCCTGGGCATCCCCTACGACCTGGCCATCGACATGTGGAGTCTGGGCTGTATCCTGGTGGAGATGCACACCGGGGAGCCTCTCTTCGCCGGGTCCAACGAGGTGAGGGCTGCAGCCGCCGCAGGAAGAAACCCTCTTTGGGTGGTTGGCTTGGCGGGTGCTCTGGTGTGGTTTGCTGCTTCTTCTTTCCTATCAAACATCTATAGTCCTTATCTCCCCTTCTTCTTTTTTATGTTCGTTACTCTCTTGTAACACCTCGAATCTTCTGGCGCTCATATGACCTTTTGCAGTTGCGAGCGCCATAAAATCTCTACGAAAACTAAAACTAAAAATCTTGGGGTCTTTTATGACTAAGATGTGTTTCAAGTGCTGTAAAACTAACTGAAAATTTTTTTAAACCCCCGAAAAGTCCCAATGGAAAACCTTGACATTTCCCGGTCGTTGTCCGTCCCCAGTTTGACCAGATGATGAAGATCGTGGAGGTTCTGGGCATGCCCCCCAAGCACCTCCTGGACCAGGCCCAGAAGACCCGCAAGTATTTTGAGCTGCTCCCGGACGGATCCTACGTGCCACGCAAGTCCAAAGACAATAAAAAAGTAAGCTCAATCTCTCCCCCATTCACACACGCGCGCGCGCGCACATATAGGCACGCGCGCACATACACACACACACACACACACACACAACCTCAACTAAAACAAAAACAAACTTCTAATCTTCAGCATTTAAATGACCTATATGTGCACATTTCAAGTGCTGTAACACTCGGAATAAAACTCAATTCTGCCCCAGTGCTGAATGATCCACACAGCGTAGATAACTACCAAAGTGTGGATGACTGCCATAGTGTCGGTCTCTCTCACTGCTACACCAGCATCTGTCGTTTAGTAGTCTGGCACTTTGCTCTCTGTTGGCAGAAGAATGGAGGGGGACTCTTGTGGCCTAGAGGTTAAGGTGTTGGCCTCTCATTCAAAAAGTCTCTGGGTAGCGACCGAAAAATTTTCTTCTCTAAAATTGTCTCCTTTCACCTT